AAATGTGCCAGCGAGGATGCTGAGTCCTGAAGGATGCTGAGCATCGAAGGGGGGTGGACACCAGGCGGTGTGCTTGAGCCTCGAAGGGGGTGGATTGTGAGATCCTACATCGGTTGGGGAAGGGATGAAACATTCTTTATAAGAGTGTGGAAACCTCTCCCTAACAGACGCATTTTAAAAACCTTGAGGGGAAACCCGAAAGGGAAAACCCAAAGAGGACAATATCTGCTAGCGGTGGGCTTTGGCTTTCCATAAAAACTCGGTGAAAGCATGAGCCAATTTCTTTTCTTTTGATAGCTTTTATCTCTCATTTTCTTCTAGTTAGCTCTCATTTCAATTGAAGTTCTTGGTTTCTTTAATTCTGCTCAAAATGCCCATTTTTTATCGGAGAAACTGTTCATAAACTTATTTGCATAGCGTATGCATCCTCAAGTCTTTTGCAGATGAGAATTTCTCATTTGCACAATGTTATTCATCTGCAGCTTTGATAACAAATTCACTGTAAATGATTTACATTGTTAGTATATTTTGAAATCCAGAAAAAACGTCCAAATCGAGTTTCTACGATGGAATCACGGATTGCTGAACTTCAAGATGAACTGAAAAAGGCAAGGGATCAACTAAACACCTCTGAATCATGGAAAAGGAGAGCAAAAGAAGAAGCTGAAGAGGCTAAGCAGCAGCTTGAATTCATGTCCTTAGAGCTCAAGGATTCTAGACAGCAATTGGTAGAGCTTTCTGCTTCTGAAGACGAACGAATCCAAGAGCTACGGAAAATTTCGCAGGATCGAGATAGAGCATGGCAGTCTGAGCTTGAGGCCCTCCAAAAACAGCATTTAATGGATTCTGCGGCTTTGTCTGCTGCCATGAATGAAAATCAGAAGCTCAAGCTTCACCTCGAAAGGATAGCCGGTTCGGAGGCGAACCAGAATAGACATGCTGAGATTCAGGGCCTCAGAGTAGAACTCAAAGAAACACTTTCACTGGTGGAGGAACTTAAATCCAAGCTCTCTGATTATGAAGATTCTGAAGCTCAAGCTCTTGATGATCTGACAAAAACACAAATGGAGCTAGAAACTGCAAATGCAACCATCGAAACGCTTCGATCAGAGGGAGCAAACGCTATGATCATGTTCAACTCTGTGTCCTTGGGGTTGGAGCAATCCAAAGAAAAAGTTACATCACTGGAGGCTCTTATTAGCAAATATCAGGATGATTTGGCTGAGCTTAATTGTATTAGATCTGAAATGGGTCAATTGAGACTAGCATTAGATGTTGCTGATAGAAGGTATCAGGAAGAGCAGCTTCGGAGCGCGTTACAGATCAGAAGTTCTTATGAAGATGCGGAATCGGTAAAATCGGAGTCACGTTTGAAAGAGGCTGCATTTGAAGCTGAACTCACTCGAGCCAAGGCACAAATCGAGCAACTGAGGACACGTCTCGATGATGAGGCTCGACTTCTAAGTATTGCGAAAGACGACGAAACATCGAACTCGAATCAGAAAACTAAAGAAAGTGAAAACGAACAGCTGAAGAAGTTAGAGGCTGATATTGAGGAGTTGAAGGCAAGCTTGCTAGATAAAGAGACAGAGTTGCAAGGAATCATTGAAGAAAACGATATGCTCCGAATCGATATTCAGAAAATGGAAACAAACGGTGAAAGGACTGATCTGGAAGAACCAACAAAATCTGCAAATGAAGAGGCTTTAGCCAAGCTCGACTGTGTAAGCGAAAGCTCGGAAATGGAGGCGGAATTGAGGAGATTAAGGGTGCAGTTAGATCAATGGAGGAAGGCAGCTGAGGCAGCTGCAGCAATGCTCTCACCAGGGAAAGATGGAAAAGTTGTAGAGATTTCAGGTCCTGCTGACAGCAACTATTCTCTCGGCACGTTCTACTCCGATGACCTCGACGACGACTCGACGAAGAAGAAGAATATCAACATGCTGAAAAGGATAGGTGTTCTATGGAAAAAGAATCAAAAGTAGATGGAATTCCAGCAGCATTTTCCCTGCAAGTGTTATGCAAATTGGGTTGGCTTCTTCTTTTTTATAATTTTGGCTTGAATTCAAAAGGCAAACAAATATTTTATAGTATAGTTGAAAAACTGGTATACTAATGGATTCGTGATACACCGTTACGTATCGTCGTCAGTCTTACGGTTTTAAAACATTTAGGAGAGAGGTTTCTACACTTTTATAAGGAATGCTTTTGTTCTACTCTCCAACCGAGGTAGAATCTCACAATCTACCCCCTTTGGGACCTAGCATCCTCGCTGGCACACCGCTCGGTGGCCAGCTCTAATATCATTTGTAACAGTCCAAGCTCACCGCTAGCAGATATTGTTCGCTTTGGCTCGTTACGAATGGCTATCAATCTCACGATTGTAAGAAATGCTTCATTCCCCTCTCCAATCGACGTGGGATCTCACATTTTTTCATTTTTCTCATAGTCGTAAAAATTAAATTATTAAAAGCATAACAGGATCGTAATTGATAGAAGAAAGAAATGGCGATGATCATAACGAATATTTGAAGATCGCCGCTCCGTCCAACCTTATTAATCAATAGAGTAATAATCGTGCGAGCTATTGAAAACTGGTAAAAATTAATACACATGATCCAAACCAAATTTAAAGGTAAATTTGATATTTTCTTTCATCCCACCAAAGAAAAGCTAGTTTAAACCTATAGCTGTTAAAACATGTAACATCGACCTCGTCATAATATCTAATAGCCCCGAGCACGAACACAGAAGGGAGTGACATGGAGAGATTTAACTTTGGAAGGAACTCCTTCTCAAGGATGTACATTGATTAAGTTGAGGGAATTTTTTGGATCAATCCGAAAATTCGAGTTGTTTGAATCAACCCAACTCAACCCTCTATTTTTAGATTGGCTATCGGGTTATTAAAAATAAAGAATTAGAACGAAGAGGATAGACCCGTGACTAGCAAGAGTGGTGACTCGAGGCGGTTGATGAATGACGGTAACGAGTACTCGAGAAGGAAGTAGGAACTGTTGTGCCAACGCTAACTGAGAAGAAATACTTATTAATGTCTGATGTAGATAGTAGATAATGTGCTTCACTGTCTCTATGCATTGTGCGAGGAAGAAAAGTACAAGTAGATATTGTGTGATGTACTTTGCTAGATTGGATAAGTAATCGAATTGGGCCCATAAATACTTTTTAGGTTGCATCGGGTTGCCCCAGTACTTTTCACACTAAACCCGTACCCAACACAAACCGAAGCAAGTCCTAACAAACCAACCCGTACCCAACACGAACCGAATCAAGTCCTAACAAACCAACCCATACCCAACACGAACCGAATCAAGTCCTAACAAACCAACCCGTAAAATGATAGAAAATGACTCCAAAACTTGGAAGACAAAATGAAGTTGGGGTTCTCATAAAGGGCAAAAAGGTGAGAATATTGGAAAGGACTTCCATGGCAGCTTTCAGCAGTGACTTCACCTGACAATGACCCTTCATGCTTTAAGCCTTTAACCAAACCACGCCCATACAACCAGACAAAGGCTTGGCTGCTAGCTGCTTGTCCTATTGGGTTTCTACCAAAATTGATACCCTTTTTGGTTATCCATTTAGTTTGATTCAAACTACTTGGTTGGTTTTGAGGATTCCCTCCTCTCTTCTCTCTCGGACCCACTTTACCCTAATTCGATCGAGTTTATGAGATAACTAGCTGATCGAGAATGTTTGGGTATCAAATGTCTTATGGGACGATCCGTTGATCGATAACGTTTGGCCTCCTCCCTTCTCTCTCAGACCCACTTTACCCTAATTCGATCGATCTTATGAGATGATTGACTAATCGAGAATGTTTGGGTGTCAAATGTCGTATGAGACGATCCGTTGATCGATAACGTTTAGCCTCCTCCCTTCTCTTTCGAACCCACTTTACCCTAATTCGATCAATCTTATGAAACGACTGGTTGATCGAGAATGTTGAGTGTCAGATATCTTATGGGATGATTGGTTGATCAAAAACATTTGGTCTCCTCCCTTCTCTCTCGAACCTACTTTACCCTAATTTGATGAATCTTATGAAACGACAAACTGATCGAAAATATTTGGTGGGCAATGTAGTTATATATGTCTTAGTCTTCAATGGTTTGACCAACCTAAACATAATTCAAATCGTTAATGCATATTATGTAAGCGATCATAACGATACTTGTTTTTACTTTGAAGAATGGGAAATTAGGGGTTTGGAGTTGAACAGTGATCTTCAATCGTCCTGTGAGATCCTACATCGATTGGAGATGGGAACAAAGCATTGTTTATAAGGGTGTGGAAACCTCTCTCTAACATACGCGTTTTAAAATCGTGAGGCTAACGACGATAAGTAACGGGTCAAAACAGACAATATCTACTAACAGTGGACTTCAGCTTTCACACATCTATTTCTATAAAGAGGAGGACAATACCTAAAATGACAAATAATTCTCGTGAACGTTCTATCTCCAATAATTTAAGTGAAGTACACATATACACATGAAGTACAAGATCTGAAACAGTGGAAGAGGGCAATCAATAAGGTACAAAAGATAGAGAAATTCCCATAATTCAGGAGAAAGAGTTAAAAAGGGACATGGCACAAAAAATGAAGCTTTTTGTTGGTGGAAATAAGGAACACTCCAAATGGTCAAAAACACAAACAGTAATCTCTGTCTTCAACAAAAAAACATCAGCTGGTTTGGCAGAACATAAACTATGGTAAAACTCCACATTTTTTACCCTATTCAAACTTTTGTAAATTTTTACCTTCCCGAGCAAATTATATAGACCCGAATTGAACCGAACCAAATCGAATCAATCAAACTAGGCGATACGAGTCGATCTATTTGCTTTCATCCCTCTCACAAAAATCGACAACAGGTCCAACAGTAAAAATGAGATAGGAATGAGAAACAGAGGTGGAATTGAAAGTCTAATCTTCTGTTCACAATATTTAAATAGGATACAAGCTAGAAAATATACTGTCAACCAATAATACTCCACAATACTGTATATCTTAAATTAAATTTCATAATAATAGACTGTAACTAGCAGCGGAAATAGAGGGGGGAATGTGGTAGCGGAGGAAAGGTGAGGGTGGAAGAAGGTGGCGAGGCGAGGGCGGGAGAAGGGAATCCTGATGATGCTGCTGGGGCGGAGAAGAACGGGAGTGAGGATGCTCCGCCGTAGGGGGTTGGGATCGGCCAACTCCGGTTATCGGTTTGGTGTTGGGGTGGACATGGAGGAGCAATGCCCAAGCTCAGGTCAATATCGCCATGGCTTTCAGATTCAAAGGCAATCTCCATGCCATAATAACAGCTCTGATCAAAATTGGTTACAGCTTCCCTTCCGTTGTGTTTTATGGCTGCCTTATCATATGCTCTGAATTACACCATTGAAAAAAACTTAATAATAATAATTATAAATAATTATAGTAATTTATTGGAGCCTCAATATGAAATGTCTTTTCTGACCTTGCTGCTTCTACCTCACTATCAAACAGCCCAAGGTACACATACCTGCAATTACCCCCATGTCACATACCTACTCAAGGATTTTTTTTGGAAATTTATTCCAAAAATAAGTGTATTTATTGTAATTATTATTTTTAAAAATTATATATATATTATAGGGGAAGGTTGAAGTTAGGCTAAATTAATAAAAAAATTTAAAATATATCTTTAAATTAAAAAAAACATTTGAGATCGTTAATACTTTATTTTTAAAATAGCCTTTAAATTTTAGAAATCTTTAAAACATACCTTTAAATTTTTAAAAATTATAGTAATATTCGGAGACTTTTTTAAAAAAAAAATAACCTTAAATTTTATATAAAAAAAAAAATAAAAAAAAAACATTTACCATTAACATCACGTTTCAAAAAATACATATAAAATTTTAAAAGTTTATCTCTTCCCCAACTAATGTGGGACATCACAATCCATCCCCTTCGGGGCCCAGCGTCCTCGCTGACACACCGCCTCGTGTCTACCTCCTTTAGGGAAGGGCGAGAAAGCTGACACATCGTCTGGTGTCTGGCTCTGATACCATTTGTAACGCCCCAGATCCATCGCTAGCAGATATTGTTCTCTTTGGGCGGTCTAGATCCATTGCTAGCCGATATTGTCCTCTTTGGGCGGCCCAGATCTATTGCTAGCAAATATTGTTCTCTTTGGGTTTTTCCTTTCGATCTTCTCTCAAAGCTTTAAAACGTGTCTACTGGGACAAGGTTTCCACACCTTTATAAATGGTGGTTTGTTCTCTCTCACGGATGTGAGATATCACACTTAAACTTTATATAAAAATTTAAAAATGTTCCATCTCATTTAAAAAAAATACATATAGATTTTCAAAAATAACATTAATACCCTTTTAACACACTACTCTTTAATAAGGGTATTAATGGAAATTTGAATTTGTTTTTTTTTTTAATACTATTTTAAAATTAAAAAAATAAAATTGAAATAAAAGTATTAACTTACTTCTTCCCTAAAAACTGGCCCATACGAGCCTCCCATCGGCCACACTTATGGAGAGTAACCCCTCTGTATTTGGAACTCCCTCGCGAAAACCCATTGCTCTGCCGTCGAAGAATGTGCACAAACTCCTCTTTACTCAAATTCCTCATCTGCAAATCCGCCATTGAAGCCCCCAAAACAGAGCTTCACATTCAAACATCACACGACAACAAACAAACAAACAAACAAACAAACAAACCCTTCAATCTTCCTCACCTCTTTAATCTCCTCTCTGTAGTCCCCGATATCGAAGTTAATATCCGCATGAACTCCTCGAAACTTGATTGCCGCTCGATCGTAAGCCCTCGCTGCAGAATGGGCCGTGTCAAAACCGCCTACAACAATCAAAAACCCAAAGATTTGGATCAAAACGGGTTTTTATATGAAATTTGAAAGAAATTCATGTTTTTAATCATACCCAAATAGACTTGCTTCCCGTTATCCCTGTGGACAGAAAGAATTGATTGATCATGAGCCTCATACCCAGAAAACAGAGGATTTGAAAATGGATACCCAAAACAGAGTAATTGTTGATTGATTACTTACCAGATATGCGACTCCCATCTCCCTGTTCTTCGATAACAAGTAACCCCACGATACTGAGAGCTTCTTGATTTGGGGCCTCGCCGTCCCTTCTTCACCGGATTAACAGACTGATCCAGCCATTTCCTCTGCGAACAGACGCCGGCGACGGGGTGAAACAGGGCCGTCCGGTCAAGTTGATTATCGGTGCCGTTGTTGTTGAGGATACTGAAAGAGAAAGTGAAACCAGAGTTAACGTTGGAAGAGAAATCCTCGTCGGCGGTGGTGTTGGAATGATCGGCGGAACCGGAACCGGAACCGGAGGCGGAGGCGGAATCTCCGGAGAGAATACAGAGATTGAGATCCAACATTGAATTAGGTCAGTGTTTGTCACCGGAAGGCGAAACCAGAGCGGTTTGTCACCGGAGAAAGGCTGTTTTACAGAAACGGAGAAGGATTATCTTGCTCGCCTTTCATGGCTGCTCTGCTCGGCTCTGTAAATCGTTTTAATTCCTCGCGTATTTAAATAACCAAAAAAAATGGAAAATTAAAAAATGTTTAGTTTATTTAGGTTCAGAATTTTCATCAAATAAAAAAAAAAAGTTTAATTATGTTTTAAAAAACTTTTAAAATTTTAGAAACTCGTGAAAAATTGCATTTATTAAAACATATATTTTTAATTAATCTACTTTTTAATTATTAAACCAACACTTCATATTCTAAAATTATTTTAGAATTATTTTAAACCTATTTTAAATTATTAATTTTCTTTTTCCAAATGTGTTTTTAATATCAAATCATAATAAATTTTTAAATTTCTAATTTTATTCAGCTTTTTTTTTTAATTAAAATATAAAATTTAATATCTTATTAAATACAAAATTTAGTTTAAGCTTAATATATTTATTAAATTAAAAAAAATGTTAAATATATGGTTGAGTTGACTCATGGAATAAATTAAAACGTATTATTAATTTAATTTTTTTTACTTCTTATATAAATATATTTATATGTATATTAGTTTTCTTGTCATGCATATCATCGATCATTTAACTCAATAAACTGAAAGCTTTGCCGCAAAAATTGACCTTTCTATCGACAAATCAAATTGATAATTCATAAATGAAACTAATAATCATCAAAATTATTATTTATTATTATTATTATTATTATTATTTTAATAATGTTGGTTTGAAAGTTATGTCAAATGAAATCAAATGCCATTAATTTGGATAAACTTACCATTTATCCTAAGGTTGAATTTTTTAGCTTTTGACTTTCACCGTAACATTTATCTCTTAATTAATATTGGATCTATCTTAATTAATATTGGATTTATCTTCATTAATATTGGGTTTATGAATTTGCTTAAGAGGGTCATCTCGATAATAATTTTATTAATATTCACTCATTTTAATAAATTTAAATTTACATCAAAAATTACAAATTCAAATTTTTCGGTCGATGTTTTTTTAGTTCAATAAAAAAAATTATTAATAAATAATGCTTTTATTTTATGTAATTAATGGCAAAAAAAAAACAAACAAATTCAGATTAAATGGCTGTTAAAAAAAAAATAATTCCACAAATCATGGCCAAAATGTATTATTACTTTAGAATAATTTAATTATTTTTTATTTCCTAAACTTTTAAATATTATATTATATAACCCATTTAAAAAAAAATCCATTTTTTTTTTATAATTTTGCATTAAAAAATATATAATTATTGCCATTTTGGACCACTTAAAATTCAAAATATACTGAATGATTTGTAAAAAAAAAATAATAAGAAGAAGAATTAAAATTATTTTAAAAATAATATAAAATTATAAGAACCAAATTAAAAATAAAAAAGATCTCTTTATGAAAATGGTTGTCCCACTAGAGCTTTTAAATTTTCTCCATAATATATAACAAAAATATTAATTATTATTAGTTGGATCCCATATTCATTCAGTGCATTATGATTCAATTAACCTTAGGACTTAGTTTTTATTGGGTTTTGTTGCTTTTTGCCCTTTTTTTTTTTTTTTTTTTTTTTTTTTTTTTTTTTTTTTTTTTTTTTTTTTTTTTTTTTTTTTTTTTTTTTTTTTTTTTTTTTTTTTTTTTTTTTTTTTTTTTTTTTTTTTTTTTTAATTTAAAATATATTTATTATATAAAGACAAAAGTTTTTATTTTTTTATTTTTTTTTAATTTTTAGAATTATTGTCTTAAGCAACTTTATTATTTTTATATGTCAAATCCCATTAATTTAATGTTGAATTTCCATAAAATAAGATTAAAAAATTTGTTTACACCTAATGATGAGATTTATAAAGGAAATTAAGTCATTTAAAACGTTTTTAGGGCAATAATTAAGGAGTTGTCGTGAAATTAGAAGTGATAATTAACTTAATTTAGTCATATTATGTTGTTATCTTATGAATGTGTTTTTTTTTTTTTAAATTATTAGATTCAATGAACTTACCCAAGTTTAAATTATTTTGATTTTGTTCCATTCATAAAGCAAAATTAATAATAATAAATTAAATTATTCACAATTTAGGATTTTCCAATTTGAAGAATGAAAAAAAAAAAAATCATTCCGTGACAAAGTATGCTTTCATGGTTAAAATCGAAATATGAACGAGAAAATTTTTGATCTAGCTGTTATTTAACATCAACGGTAACTGTAATTTTGGAGAATAAGTGACCTGTAAGAACGACAAAGGTAGGCACTAATATGACACTTGCAACACCAGATAAATTAAAGAATAATGCGACAAATTTTAGAGACCTACTTTTAGAATCTTTTTACCTAAACTTTTCATATTTTTTTAAGGTAAGAATTGAATTTGAAAAGATAAATCTAGATCGGTAGGATATCGTTACTGGGTCTATTTCTTCTCGGGTTTTTATTAGATTTTGATCCAGTTTTGAAATATTTTTGGGTTTGTTCCTCTTTATGCTCTTATATATAATTTACGAACTCGTCCTAAGAGTAATATTCCTCGTGTCATTACAGTGATACAATTTTTTTTAGTTTCTTTTTTGGACATTAATTGACGTGTATTTTTTTCTTCAAATTAAATTCTAAATTTTTATAATCATCGCTTATTGTGCTTAAAAAGAAACAATTGTGAATTCCTATGAATAGTTAACTCGTCAACTTTTATATATATATATATATATATATATTTATTTTATTTTATTTTGAAAATTTTTCATTTTTTTTAATAACATTTAAGAAATGACCTTAGGAGAGATTCATAGTCTCATCATCAACTCGAAAGGACAATTTATTTTCTTAATATTATTAAAAATTCCTCGAAAAATTGAAAAAAATTAAGAAAAAAAATCATAATATTAAACCTGCCCAAGGCAACTACGAAGAGTCATCTCTTTAAAGGCATTATTAACTTAGCCAATGGTCATTTTTTTTTTTTTTTTTTTTTTTTTTTTTTTTTTGTAAAATTCTTAATCTCTTTTATTTTTAGTATTATAAACCCTTTTCCCACTCATAAAAGGTTAACCAATTGCTTTCTATTCCTTTTTAATGACGAATAAAAAAGAGCAAAAATATCTTTTTATTTTTTAAATTTTAATTTTAATTTTTTTTTAATTATAGTAGAGCTTTCATTTCATCGTTAGGTTTTACAATTTTACATTTTTACCCTTGAGTTTACATTTGTTTTGAGATTATATGTATTTAGCTTCCGAGTTTTGAATGATGTTAGCTTTGGCCATTTATGTTATTTTTTATTAATTAATTGTCACTAATTTTGTATCATTACACTGAGAATAATGCGACAAATTTTAGAGACGTATTTTTATATGAACTTTCAATTTTTTATTTAATAGACCTCCAAACTTTAAAAGATGTTTTAATTTGTATTTGTGTCTAATTTAAATCCCAAATCTATTAAACACAGATATTTTTTTTAAATTGGGTGATTTATTAAATACGAAATAGAAAGTTTAGAAACATACTAAACATTTTTTTAATTAGGGAAGTGCACAAACAAAAAAATAAAATAAAATAAATAAATAAATAAATAAAGAATAAACTTAAGATCGAACCAAAAAAAAAAAAAAAAAAAAAAAAAAAAAAATTACTTTTTGTTTCAATCAACTTTGAATGTTGGTGGTACCACACAAACTTTCTTATTTATTAAATGGCAAAAGAGCAACTTGCTTATTTACTCCCTTCATAGGTTGAATACTTTTGAGGTAATCATTAGGTTAACTTACTCTAATGCCCATTCTAAATAGGAACCATTAAATAAATAAATAAAAATATTAAAATCAATTATCAAGCAACAAAAGTTTTACGAAATAAACGAATTTTTGTTCCATACGTCTTGTATGTTTCTGCTTTACGAATATGATATTTTCTGGATGAATACTATATGGTAGCAAAAGGAAATTCTTTGGTACAACATTATAAAGTATCAAAAATTCTGGAAAGAACCATTTCGACTTACATTGAGTTGTCTATTTTTTAATATAGTTTTTAGACTAACTTGTATTGGTTAGGTTAGTAATTCAAATGATTAGAATAGGATTCACAACCAGAATTGAGTCAAGTCATTGATTTCTTCACTTTCACATCAAATTTGAATATTAAACATTCATACATCACAATACAACACTAATATCTATAAACAAACGCCAAATATTCTTAATTTTCATAAAAAATTTTAAGGGGTTGTGGATCTTATTCTCAAATTATTCGGGTTGACAGAACAAAAAAGGCATTCAACCTACAAACCGAACTAAAATTTTCATTTCTTCAAAACAAAATCTATTCCAACCCAATCGAATTAGCACCTTTTGTTTGTGCATTTAATTTGTTGAAGATAAGGTTGGCAAATCTAAGGAGAAAAAAAATACAATATAAACAAAACAATTCAAAACATAATCAAATGATATAAAAAATATATGGGGGAAGAAAATATATTATATTATATTGAAGATTTATAAACACACAATATACAATTGTAAACAATATTTTTTATAATTACCCTTATAAATATGGTCCTCTAAACAATATTTTGCATAATTTTTCATAAAATTTGAAAATCAAGGATGGAGAACAAATCCCCAACAATTTTAATTTTAGAAATTGCATAATACTAATCACTCCAAGGCTCTAAGGCAAAGCCAATGGGGAAAAATGATATGGCATTGAATAAAAGGGCATCAAGAACAATGACCATTAAAAGCAGAAGAATTGCATATCACAGTGGATGTAATCTCACCATGGTGACATGATAAAAGGCAACTACTACACACTCCTTGTAGATGAACAAAGAGGAGGAATGTAGATAAAAATGGGAGAGCAAAAGGCTAAAGGTAAATTATCATGTTACTTCACTCATTGTTCTCCTAAACTCTAAACGCAACAACAATCCAAGCAAGAAATATCAACTCCTTGACAAAACTAGATTTACCGAAGTAATGAGGTCTATGAGATTTTGAATAAAGAAAAGCGAAATTACTGAGAGACGCCGAGCCATTTCGAGAAGTTGTCGAACTCGGTGTAATCACTGTCGGAGATCATCGTCTGATACCATGCCTTGCCTGCAGCTTTGATTGAAGTAGCCTCCTCCTGTGAGGATCATGTACAAAAAATGGAGAGAAGAAAGTCAACACCATGAATAGGATGTGTACTGAGACAACAAAGTCTGGTTCCACAAAATGCAGATGATATGATCATATGATTGTGCCACCGTATAAAACAACTTCTGGTCACGGAGTATCGATGATTCAACTTAAAATGAGAAACCAAAAAGGACAAACTTTTGGAAGGATAAAACGAACATCTTGTCATCATGATGAAACAAAGAAATCTATAAAATAAATTAGTTCTCTACCAAATCAACAAGAGATTACTTGAACTTACAAGGATGGATAAGGCGAGCACATAAAAAAAGTGTACTTAAGAATTCGACCAATCTAATCAATTATGAAGTATAAGTGATGAGAGTAAACAGTAGTCCTCAAGAACGATGCATATCGAAGTTAAATGACAACAGGACATGATTGAACATAGAGCAATAATTTTCATAAAAGCATGTCATTAAGCAGACCCAATAACTATGAGCCAGATACAAAGATTCCACTGTATGTAACATAAAATTAAATTAATTATGCCATCAATCTTAAGAGCGAAACCAAACCCACATAAAAAATAATATCAACTTAATAAGTATTTGAAGGAAATCGCCAATCCAATCAATCTGCTATGGAGATATGCGCAACTTAATTTCTAAAAGAATGAAGATAATCACTAAGAACATGAATGATGTACCTTTGTAGTCAAATTCCTCTTCTTGTCGAGTTTCTCCTTTTTAGCCTTAACACGTTGCTCCTCCGCCAAAAGAGCCATTCTTCTAGCAGTCTTGGCATACGGGTTAAGCTTGAGCATGGCGTTCAAGTTCTTCAATGGGTTCTTCTTCAATGGAGCTCTCTTAACAGCCTTCTTAATCGGCTTCACCACAGATTGGACTTCATCAGAGTTAATAATCCTTGACAAATCTGCATTCACCATCTTAGACCTTGGGAGGACATAACCCTTTTTCTTCTCTGAAGGCTTCTCGAAAGATCCATAAATAGAATCAAGCTTCTCAAAAGCAGACTTGGTCCAGATCACAAACCTTCCAAGGTGACCACCAGGAGCGAGCTTCAACAAATTAAGCCTCTCAACATTGGCAATCTCAACTCCCGGAATGTTACGGAAGGCCTTAACAAGTTTAGCGCCCTCAGTTCCGTAAACAATCAACGGACCCTTGCGAGAAATGTAGCGACGGTTCCTCATTTTACCCTTACCAGGACGGATCGCATGGCTATCCTTGGCCTTCTCAGCATCGGGAAAAGCACCAACCTGTTTGAGAACCTTGATTGCAGCGGAGGTCTTCTCAACGCCTTCGGCCGAGTCGCTCACAACAAGAGGCAATTCAGGAACAGACTCGATACGATGGCCGCGAGCAAGAACCAACGATGGAACAGCCGAGGCCGCAATAGCCGAAACAACAGCATACCTCTTCTGATTCACATTGATCTTTCGGTGCCAACGTCGCCAGATCTTAGTTGGAGCGAACATTCGACCACCACGACACATGTTTCCAAAAGCACCCTGACCAGCACGGTGAGTACCACCGCCAGGGACACGAGGAATACGGGACACAGCACGTCCGGTACCCCAGGACTCAGCGGAGGTTTGGTGGCCGGCGCGCTTGCTGACGGCGTAGGGCTGGCGGCTGTTCTTTGAGATATTGGAATGAACAAAGCTAACAATATCCGGCCGAATTGAGGCCCTCATCACGTCGGGCAGCGGGACGCCGGGTGCCGCATCAGTGGCCATGTCCCCTTCAAGGGACTGAACCGAAACAAGAGGGCGAGCGGCGGCAACAGCCATTGAAGAGTGTTCGTGTGTGAAGTGAAGAAGAGAAGAGAGAGAGGAAGAGAAGAATTAGGGTTTGCTGGCTGAGAGTTTATATATGTGTTTCGTGTCACAAAAATGGATCATTAATTATTTTTTCTTAATTATTAAATATGAAAAATAATAAAATAAAGGTGTGAAATTACATTATTGCCCCCAACTTTTCAATTCAATATTTTCATTTTGTTAACCTGAAGTTATTTGCGTCTTCCTCAAATTCCCTGCCAGGCCCAACCCAATTCGTTTGGGCCAACCGAACAAATGGGCCTGATTCAAAGCCCAGTTCATGAAACCCCAAAAGTATATATAGTTTTCTTTTAGAAGAACGGCATTCATTGTTCATTAACGCAAGCCAATAGGCTAAAAACTAGGAAATCCTAAATGACAAGAGAAACAAGCCAATGGGAAATTTTTCTGAGTTCAATGAATACCACACGAGAAAATGCTACAACATCAGCAATCTACATTTCGTTTCATTACAAGTCACCTCGACGACCAAATATAGTAAGGTAAAATGATTGTATCACGAGAATTGTCGAGGCATGGCTTTCATGAATGACTAAAGGCTTACAAAGCGCGCACTCGACAACCAAACATAGTAAGGTAAAATGATTGTATCACGAGAATTGTCATGGCGATAGCTTCCATGAATTGCTAAAAGCTTATTAAGCACGCACTCGACCGACCAACAACATGGTACTAAAGTTGGGACACTCTTTACTCAGGTTCAAAGTGCATCCAGTATCCTAAGAGGGTTTGATTAGCTTAGGTTCAAAGTGCATCCAGTATCCTAAGAGGGTTTGATTAGCTTACATTCAAAACAAAGGAAACATGCTTAATCTCCATTCATATTCGGTGATCAGCGAACTATTTCACTCTTTAAACGTAAAGGTTAAGCGCAGCAACCTTGTGATTATCTCTACACCCATGCCTGTTTCGTCGCTATACGGTCATTTAGGCACCTTAGTCAGTGATCCAGCAGGCGGGTTTCCTCAATCATCATCTTCAGAGCTTCCTTCTTCACTAGCATAATCGCTACTATCATCGTCTTGATCGAGAATATCCAACTGAACATGCCTAACTTGAATCGGCTCTTGAGGTCTGTGTAATCCTGGAAGAGCATTATGCCTCAACTGTGGCTCATCAACTCTAGCAACAGGAAGAGAGTCCAATGGCGGCAATGGCACAGGGTCCCCAGGCTTCCATCCAGGAGGGGGCATTGGTAAATCCCTAGGTAATTCCACAGGCATTCCAGGCTTCCAACCAGATGGCACAGTGATATTTGGAGGAAGCAGCCCTTGAATACCCGCCAGAGCTAAAGGATTGGCATCTGTTGGCACTGGAGCTGGTGCCTCAATCATTGGCTCGATGGTTTTCTCAGTACTTTCAACTGATTTAGGCAAGCCAACATCAAGATCAGCAAAAGTATACAACTGGGAAGCACGCATTTGCTCTTCTTGCGGGGCAGGGGGAAGCGCCCCGCGCAACGGAGCTTGTCCAGCCCCAAATTCAGGTGGTGCAAAAGTAGTATAGCTTATTTTATGAGCATATGACAATATATCAGATAATTTCAACTGGGATGCAACAGTAGTAGTCGAACACAATGACTCGTTTTCGACATCATCGCTAGTTTTAACACGTTTATGACCCTGATAATCAGCATAATCATCAAACAAAACATCAAGAACCTGTTCAGCATCCTTTAGTTTATTAGCAAAAGCACGAAGAGCAGCATCTTTAGCCCGCATTTCATAAGCAATTTTTTGCTTAGAGTCTTGAAGATCAAGAATCTCCTGAAGCTCAGCAACAGCTTCAAATAATTGAGTCTGCAGAACATTAAACAGTGACAGAATTTCTTTTGAAGTAGACGGAGTAGAATCAAGCGGCGTAGAGGGAGCCGACTGGGTTTGAGAATTAAGAAAAGTGGGAAGAGAGCCCCGAAATGCAGTGAGCCAAAGGGCTCGATTGGGGTAAACTTCGAAGAGCTTGGAAGCTAAAGAAGCCATTTGCAGGAGAAGAGCTTGAGCTCTAGGAAGAGGAGGAAGGAGAGGAAGAAGCGTGGAGGAGGGAGTCGGAGATGAAAGATTGGATGGATTTTGGTGGTGGGATTGTTGAGAAGGGGGCAATTTCGGTGGGGTAGGGTTTTGAATTGAAGGAGAATTAGGGTTCGTCAAGCCCAATCTTGCTGGGGACTGTACAATTTGATGCTGAAGCATTCTTGAGTGCTTCAATGGCGATCGAATTAGGGTTTAATTCGTGCAAAACAACAGAAGAAGATCAAACTGAAACTTGAAAGACGAGAATGGGAATGGAGAGAACCTGAGATCGGGAAGACGAAGAAGATCGGCGATTCGGCGCTGATTATCGCTCCTTTTTTTTCCTTTTAATTATTTTATTAATAATCTCTAATAGTTTTTTTAATAAGTGGGCTGGGCCGAAAGTATGGGCCAAAATTGGGCTGGACAAGATTGGGGTAATTATTACAATTTTACCCTTTCACTATCAAAATTATCCCATATATATTAAAATTTTAAATATTAAATTAATTTTTTTAAAATTTTTGGTAAATATATTTCATATTATTAACCAAACCATTTATAATTTGAAACTTGGAGGCTTCCATATATTATTAAAATATTAAAATATTAAAATAAAATATGCTACATTGAAAAAATCAAATTTTGAATTAAAAAAATTAAAGATTAATTATAGTACGCCATATTATATTTTTATATATTTAAAATTTAAGAAAATTGACTGTGTAGTAATATTTTTATTATGTGAAAACTTATTTAAATATGAAAATAAAATAATAAAAAAAACGAATATATAACACAAATTTAGAAAAATGATATTATATTGAGTCGAAAAATATCTGAACAAATGAAACGGCGGCGTTTTGCTATTGGTATCGTACCACCAAACAAGAGAACAAACCGCTGCCTTTCAAATCAAATCCATTCCCGAAAATAATAATTAATTCATACAAAAAAAAAGAAAAAAAAGAAAAAAAAAAGGGAAAATTCCGATGAGGAGAAATATAAAATCAACTGAAGAAGTTCAGAACTCGTTAACCGTTGGCCAAGAATGCGTGGTCTCCTCATCCTCGGCTCCGCCTCCTCCTCCTCCTCCTCCAGCTCCATTGCCGGACGTTGCTCCCGCCGCCCTAGCCACTCCAAGGCCCTAAATTCCTCGCTTTCCAACGTATTTCCCACTGGAACGCACTCACCGCTTTCTTCTCGTCCTTCCACTATCCATTCCCGTTCTCCTCTTCTGTCCTCTGTCCAATGGGACATTGCTGGCGCCTCATCCGGCGGGAAAACTTCTCTCCGTCACTACGCTGACGTCGCATCGAAGCTCGCCGAGCGCGGTAAGCTTGACGATTTTGCGATGGTGGTGGAAAATGTGGTCGTCGCTGGTGTTGAGCCCTCGCAATTCGCTGCGGTGTTGGCTGTTGAGCTTGTGGCCAAGGGGATTTCGCGGTGTCTTAGAGAGGGAAATCTTTGGAATGTCGTGCAGGTTTTGAGGAAGGTCGAGGAGCTTGGGATTTCGGCTGTGGGACTATGCGATGAGTCGGCTGTAGAGTCGCTGAGGAGAGAGTGTCGTCGAATTTCCAAGTCCGGAGACTTAGAGGAGCTCGTCGAATTCATGGAGGTTCTTTCCGGTAACTTAGGAATTTGTCATACGCTTGCTATTCTTCTTAATATTGCGGCAGGAACATATTGAAATGTAGCTGAGTAGACATTGTCACATCAGACTTAACGAAGCATTCTTATGATTAGGGCTGGTAATTCTAGGATGAAACTGTTTTTGGGAAATTTTCCATGCTTGTTCCTTGTTAAGTGTTGTAAATTTAACGTTAAAGCTTAGCAGAATTGTGAAATCTGAACTCAATTACTCGAATATGGAAATTGATTATTACTAAACAACCTGCTTCTATTAATGTTCATGATTGGATTTCCAACAGGTATTTATTCGCATTGTTTAACAATTAGCTACCGTTTTCAGGTTTTGGTTTCTCGATCAAAGAAATGATGAAGCCGTCCGAAGTAATAAAACTGTGTGTTGATGCCCGTAATCCAAAAATAGCAATTAGGTAAACCTTCATTTGTGTTATCAAATGCATCTTCAAGGGGTTAAAATTCAATGAAGTTTGTAACATACACTTGGGGCTGTTTCAATTGAAAGGACTTTACGTATATTGGAGCATGGAGGGTGAGGAACCATTACAAGAATTAATGTTTGTAGTTGTTCGGTTTTTAGTTGACTTGATAGTTTTCTTCACTATATTTGGAATCCTCAAATCGGTGTCGATACAATATACGGTATCTGAACCACTAATTTGTTGTTGATGAATTATACAGGTACGCTAGCATCTTACCACAAGCAGATATATTGTTCTGTACAGTTATAAATGAATTTGGCAAGAAAAGGGACTTGAAATCTGCTTTCATGGCATATACAGAATCCAAGGCTCATATGAATGGTCCTAATATGTATATCTACCGCTCAATAATTGATGTCTGTGGTCTCTGTGGTGACTACAAGAAATCGAGGAACATCTATCATCAGGTACTGTGCTAACTGCAATGCGAAATTATGTTTAATGCTTGTTGTTTACACATGAAAGATGATTTTGCTTGAATAGCTATGCTAAGGTAATTCTTGCTCGAACATCTGTCTAGAAATGGCGGTTGTAGTTTATAAGCATCTGAGCAGTTGTAGTTCAGAAAATAAAGCACTGTTCTTGACTATCGGTTTCAACGTCCTTAGTGTGCAACAGAGACTCGTCATAAATTAGAGACTTCAGGAAAATTTGATCTTGAATGTATTTATTAGATGTGTATCAGCTTTAGGTTTAGCAGGTTAACAATTGTTACTTTCTTTTTGGAAGTTCTTATATTCTTTAGATCTCTACAAGAGTTATATTCACAGAGATTCAGGTTTTCTATTTTTCAATTTTCTGCAGGATTTGCTCAGTCAGAATGTCACCCCGAATGTATATGTCTTCAACAGTCTCATGAATGTAAACGCCCAT